CCCCCTCCCCCTCCCCCTCCGCCCTCCCCATCCTCTTCCTGGGACGACGGCGTTACCTCGTGAGACACACATTCCAGCGACCGCAGCTCGCTGCAGTAGCGGCAGAAGTAAAGCTGCGAGAGAGGGGCCCGAACCTTCTTTTCTCCCTGGACGAGGTAGAGGACCCGCTCCGATTGCAGCAAGGACGCCATCTTGGAGAGGGAGGAGCCGACGACGCTCCGGTCGCGTCACGTGACCCGAGAGCCGGCGTTCGCCTCGCCGCCTCCCCTACGTCTTTCTACGTCGACTTTGACGTCAGGTTTCCGACGCGGCGGGGCTTTGCGCCCGCGAGAGTCCGAACGCGCCTGCGCAGCAGGGATTCCCCGGTTTCTCCCCCGCCGCGGGCCCGCCCCCCTCAGCGTTTCAGGGAGCGTCAGTGGCTTGTGTGGAACTCAGACTTGCCTACGGTTCAGTACAGAACCTCAGATCAAAGCCAGACAAGCTCAGTGCCCTCCTTTCGTTTCTTGCACAGAGCAAGGCAGCTGCACTTTTGTTTTATTTACAGCTGCCTCTCCTGCCCTCACCTTCCAGGCGCACATCCAGAGGTGGATGGGAGGTTTCAGAGAGAGAGTTCCATGGGAACTGGAAAGCTGAGAGTCATTCCAGCACGTTCTTCTGATAGCCTTGTCACCGGCCTGTAGGAGACTTTCACAGCCTTTCATAAGGTACAGTAGGCAGTGAGACACACATGAGCGGAGCAGGAACGATAGGCCCCGTACCACCGAAAGCCCTAGGTATCTAGAAGGACCTCACCCCCAGGGCCACCTTTCCTACCCTAACGTCTCACTGACAGTGTGGTTCAGACCCCCTGGCCGTCCCTCTCCTGGTCATGCGGTTCAGACCCTCCCCTGACCTGACCTCCCCTGGCATGTCTAGTCATGTGGTTGACCCCTTTGGAAGAGGAAGGGGGCGGGGCGCAGAGAATAGCCTCATATGCCTCCCATACAGGCCCTTGCAGGACCATTCCCTTAAGCATGAAGCCCTAGGCAGCGGTTCTCAACCTGTGGGTCGCGACCCCTGAAAATACATCCTGCATATCAGATATTTACATTGCGATTCATAACAGTAGCAAAATTACAGTTATGAAGTAGCAACGAAAATAATTTTATGGTTGGGGGTCACCACAACATGAGGAACTGTATTAAAGGGTCGTGGCATTAGGAAGGTTGAGAACCACTGCTAGAGGTAACAAATAGGCCTCGGTTGTGTTTCAGCTCCAGGCCTGAAAAAGCAACAAGGCCAGGCGGGGTGACACCATGGCTGACATCAAGACCAGCGGCAAGGACTTAATGACCCTCTACCTAGTACCAACCAACCAGTGGACACCAGGACCCTGAGGAGACGCACCTAGAAAGCTGATAAATATTCTATTGAGATCCTCCCCTGCAACCTCCAGATAAGCCCTTAAAATAGAGGACTCGGCGCTCTCGCGCTTGCTCTCTCTCTCTCTCTCTCTTTGTTAATCCTCACGAAAGGATATTTTTCCAAACTTTTTTTTTTTTTTTTAGAGAGAGTGGAATGGAGGGGGAGAGACAGAGAGAGAGAAACATCGTGCGGGATACACGTCCATTGGTTGTCTGCTGCAGGGATTGAGCCTCTAATCGAGGTATGTGCTCTTGACCTGAATTGAACCCAGGACCCCTCAGTCCGTGCGCCAAAGCTCTATCCAATGAGCCAAACCGGCTAGGGCGGCTCTTTCTCTCTGGAGCACCTTTCCTCCCCGCTTCCTTCCCTCAAGGCACTTACCTTCACTTTCTTTTTCCTATGCTCCAAATCCCTTCTTTTGCCTCTATAACTTGTTTCCTGAGCCCACACAGTCCTACTGGCTCACTTCTTTCACGGCTCATTTCTTCTATCTCTGTGACATTCTAAACAAACTTTTGCTTATATTTGAGTCTTAACTCTAAATTCTTTCTTAGCCAACACTCAAGGACCTTGGTCTAACACAGCCGTGGGCAAACTACGGCCCGCGGGCTGGATCCGGCCCGTTTGAAATGAATAAAACTAAAAAAAAAAAAAAGACCGTACCCTTTTATGTAATGATGTTTACTTTGAATTTATATTAGTTCACACAAACACTCCATCCATGCTTTTGTTCCAGCCCTCCGGTCCAGTTTAAGAACCCATTGTGGCCCTCGAGTCAAAAAGTTTGCCCACCCCTGGTCTAACATCTGGTGCTATTTCGCTGTTTAACAATTTGAAATTTCTTAGACTGTGAGCTCTTCCACGCAGGGGCCAAAACTCATTCATTTGCAGGTTTCAAGTACTTAGCATTAGGATTAAGTCTGCACAGTAGACCCCTTATCTGCAGCTTCACTTTCTGTGTTTCAACCTTGGTCGGAAAATATTAAATGGAAAATTCTAGAATTAAGCAATTCATAAGTTTTAAAACATGAGCTGTTCCAAGTAGCTTGATATAATCTCATTCCATCCCGTTCTATCTCCCCAGGAAGTGAATCATCCCTTTGTCCATCGTACCCATGCTGTATGCACTACCAGCCCATTAGTCACTTAGTAGTCGCTTAGACTTGGTTATCAGATCAACTGATATCGCAGTTGTGGTATTGCAGTCACCCTTGTTTTACTTAATAATGACCCCGAAGTGGAAGAATAGTGATCCTGGCAGTTCAGATATGCTAACGAGAAGCCATAAAGTGCTTACTGTAAATCCAAATGTATGTATATGTAGGAAAAAACAGTACTGTATATATAGGGTTCAGTATTATCTGTGGTTTCAGGCATCCACTGGAGGTCTTGGAATGTATCCTCCATGGATAAGGGGGGACTACTGTATGGCGGATGTTCAATATGTATTGATTAATGATGGAATGATACTAATGAGTGAACCTGGGTGTCATTTACATTTTTATAATGCATAAACTAAGGTTTAGATATGTAACATGACCACTTTTTAAATATATTTTATTGATTTTGTACAGAGAGGAAGGGAGAGGGATAGAGAGTTAGACACATCGATGAGAGAGAAACATCAATCAGCTGCCTCCTGCACACCCCCCACCGGGGATGTGCCTGCAACCAAGGTACATGCCCTTGACCGGAATCGAACCTGGGACCCTTCAGTCCACAGGCTGACGCTCCATCCACTGAGCCAAACCGGTCAGGGCTAACGTGACCACTTGGAACTGACCTAGCAAAGATGAGCCCATGTTACCAGTACTTGACACCAGTTCTATGCTTTTCTCTCTGTATTAGTGCTGTATCATTACAACACTGTCTGACATTTGACTTGGTGATTGAGAACAAATGGAACTGAATATTAGCTAACATTTACTGAGCTCTTATTGAGTGCAGAACACTGTGTCAAAACTTTATATATATCATCTTACTCAATTTTCACAAACACTCCAAAGGCAGTTATTATCATCTCTATTCTACAGTGCAGGAAACTGAGGCTCAGAGAATTGCAATGACTGGTCTAAGGTTTCCTAAATAACGCAGAATGTTGTTCTGTCTGAGTCCACAGTTTACATGCATTACCGATGCATACTGCCTCCAGCAAATTTTCTTTCTTTTTTCTCTAGCTTTATTGAGGAAATTAAAATTTTTATTTTATTTATTAATTTTTAATTTAAATTCTTTATTGTTTAAAGTATTACATATGTCTCTTTTCCCCCATTGACCTCACCCCGGCCCCTCAAAATTTATTGACAATTAAAATTTATTTAAGGTGTACACCTTGGTGATTAGATATACATTGTGAAATAATCAGGATTATCAAGCCAATTAACATAGCCATCACCTCACATAGTTACCGTTTTCTTTTCTTTTTTTCTGGTAAGAACACAAAAGATCAGCCCTCTTAGCAAATTTCAAGTGTATAATACAGTCCTGTTAACTATAGTCACATTATTGTACACTAGATTTCCAGAACTTACTTTGCATAACTGAAACTTTGTACGCTTAGACCAACATTTCTCCATTTCCTCTCTCTGCTAGGCCTTGGCAACCACCATTCTCTCTGCTTCCATGAGATTGGCTATTTTGGATTCCATATATTAGTGAACTCATGCAGCATTTGTCTTTCTGGGTGTGGTGTATTTCACTTAGCATAATGTCCTTTAGATTTATCCATGTTGTTGCAAATGGCAGGATTTCCTCCTTTTTTTTTTTTTTTTAAGTTGAGTGAGATTCCACTGCTCAGTGACCAGCAGTCGCCAGTAGCACAACCCTGAAGTGTAGGTGACGATTAGCATGGGCCCTGGGCAACAGCAACACACAGACACTGGCGTAGAAGACAGGCACTGGGAGCAGAGGGAGAAAGAAGTAACCAAGGAGGACACCTGGCTTGGTTCCCAAGGTGCGCAGTGCCAGCCTGCTTCACTGGTGCTTGCAGGCTTACAAAAACATAAGCCATGGGTTGGAGTTTGTTATTGCCATAATATCCTGATGTAGTAGACTAGGTGGCTTACAATCATCACGTACTAAAAAGATCCTAGTTCAACCCTTGTATTTTTCAGATGGAGAAAATGAGGTCCAGAGAGTCAAAGGAACATGCCCACAGGTTTTCTCACTCCTAGTATCATATTCTGTTCTCTAATTCTGTAAATGCTGTTCTTTGCCCACCATATCAGTTCATTCATATCCATAGCCAAGTAGGAAACTTGTTGCTCTTTTAACAACACTTAAAAAGAAAAGAAAGTTGCCCAGCCAATGTAGCTCAGTGGTTGATCATCAACCTATGAATCAGGAGGTCACAGTTCGATTTCCGTTGGGGCACATGCCTGGGTTGCAGGCTCAATCCCCAGTGTGGGGCGTGCAGGAAGCAGCCAATTGATGATTCTCTCTCATCACTGATGTTTGTATCTCTCTCTCCCTCTCCCTTCCTCTCTGAAATCAAAATAAAAATATATTAAAAAAATAAAGAAAGAAAAGAAAGCAACTGCAAGGGAAAGTGAGACGCTAATGGATAGTCTATTCAATTTGCCCTGGAAGTTTGCTGGAATTGTGTCATTTTGGGCACATGAGTTTCAACATCTCTGGAATGCTCTCCCCTTGGTTTTAATAAGAATTTCTTAGGGGTACCTCAAGCCTAACCAAAGCTTGTTCTCATGCTCCCTTCTCTGTGCATAGTGGACTAACTGGAAGCTAATGTCAATTCTGTGGCACCAAGGAACACTTCCTCTGTGCTCTACTGAGGATACAGAGACATGAGCTGGGCATCCTATTTTGGCTGCAGGATGCACAGGGTGGCCTTGGAT